GCTGGGATGCCGACTTTTCACCTGACATGTCGCACACTTCCTCAGGGCAGTGACCAGGGCAGGCTCCCTCACTGCTCTGAGGAAGCTTGCGACAGGTCAGGCGACACGTCGGCACCCCAGCCAACGACGCGGCGTCTCCTGAATAGCCGAGAATTTATGGATTCGAGCCGCGGAAGCTTACGTGTACATAATGTTTGACTATCGCTCTATCGGGTATTATTATTGTTATTAATATAATAACAATAGTATATTGAGTGCTGAGTCTGAGACCATAAGGTCATATCTTCCGTCCGACCAGTGACTAGTGTTGAGACGCGATTTCCGAAGACAGAAACCGCCAATCGTACCTGGGAGCCCAGCCGGTAGCACTTGCCGTAACCTTAGCGTGGTGCAGCACGGACATTTGTTGGCGAAGTCACTGTGCTTCTCGTCGCGCCTGCAGGGAAGTGCTATAGTTCCAGGTTGGGCAGGTCGACGATTCGTGTCGGGAAGTGGGCCGAGGCCTTTCCTGTGTTGCAGCTTGCAAGTGTTTAATTATCAACATGGTTTTCTTTATTGATTGTCACCTGAGAGGCTGCGAGGTCGGCCAGTCGGACTCCGCACCTCAGGTGGGCGGAAGCCCGAAGCGGTGCATGCGCTCCGGCCGGGATTGCGCCAGACACACAGAGCTCCACGCCAACCTTAGCGCCAGAGAGCACATGCGCCACCTGCCTCTGTGTGCTTGTGCGCTATGACTGTTTGCGCTGGCCATGTCTGTGACTGCGATACCCTCGAACACCGGCGACCGAGAGCGGCGCGCGCTTCGGTCTTGTGTCTGGGTTGCAGCGAGCTGACGTCACGGCCTCGCCACCTAATAAAGAAAGGATGCCCCCCGCAGCGACTGCTTTTCGCGGCGATTGGACCGGGTGATATCTTCCTAGTTTCCAGGCGCTCGTTACGTAGCGCGTGCAGTACGGAGAGCGGCGAAGTGGCGTTCCTTCACACCCGTAGGCGCCGGCGGAACTGGTTGGCTGGCCTGGCCTGGCACGGGCGTGAGGTTGAAAGCGCGCCGCACAGGGCGTGGGATGGGTGGGCGCTTGGGAGAATGAGCGAGGGGCAGGTGGGTGCGCGCCGCGAGCGTGAAAGGAGAGAAGGTGAGGGGTGAGGGAGGGGAACCAGGCGATGATGGGCGGAGAGTGAAGAAGGCAAATTGCGATCGTGTCGTGGCACATGACGTGGTAAGCCGTCGGACGCCCCAAAAGTGATTAGAACCAGCAGGACGGTTGGCACGGTCGAGTGGTTGAATGGAAGGTGGGTGATGGGTGAGAGTATTGGTGGATAGCAGAGTTGAGTTTAGGGGCTCAGAGCGAGGTGATTGGGTAGATGGTGGAGTGATTAGATGACGGCACCGTGATGATTGAGTGGGCGATTAGAGGATGGATATGACAGAGCGGGTGATTGGGTGGGAGAGGCGGGTGATTCGGTGGGCGAAACGAATGAAATGGGTTGGTGAGCGATTGGCGAATTCGAGTGGGTTTCGTTGACCGACCGAGGGTGAGTGAGTGGGCTAAATCAATTTAGGTGAACGAGCGTGTGACTGAGGGTGCGAGCGATTGCAAGCTGGGTAGCTTCGTTGAGCGGACTGGGTGTAGTTGTGTGAGTCGCTGGGGTGTTGTGTGGCGGGGAGTTTGATGGCACACTGGGGTATTTGTTGAGCGACTGGGGTTAGTATTGTGTTGAGCGCTGGGGTAGTTGGTTGAGCGAGTGGGGTATTGTTGGGTGGGTAGTTGTACGGACTGAGGGTAGTTTGTTGAGCGACACTGGGTAGTTTGTGAGCGACTGGGGTCATGTCTCGTTGAGCGAACTGGGGTAGTTTGTGAGCGACTGGGTAGTTTTGTTGAGTGACTGGGGATAGTTTGGTTTGAGCGACAAACTGGGGTGTTTGTTGAGCGATGGGGTAGTTTTGTTGAGCAGGCTGGGGTAGTTTGATTGAGCCGACGCGGGCTGACGTTTGTTGAGCGACGGCTTTAGACTGGGAAGTAGTTTGTTTGAGCGACTGCGGGTAGTTGTTGACGGCGAGCATGGGGTAGTTTGTTGAGCGACACTGGGGTAGTTTGTTGAGCGATGGGGTAGTTTGTGAGGCGAGCTGGGGTAAGTTCTGTTGAGCGACTGGGGTAGTTATGTTCGACGCGACGGGGTAGTTGGTTGAGGCGACCGGGGAGTTGGTACGCGGTAGTTGGTTGAGCGCCACTGGGTAAGTTGGTTGAGCGACAGGGGTGTTGTTGAGCGCTGGGTATGTGGTTGAGCGACTGGGTGTATGGTTGAGCGACCTGGGGTAGTTGTTGAGCGAACTGGGTTAGTTGGTTGAGGACGGAGGGTAGTTGGTTGAAGCGTACTGGGTAAGTAGTGGCTGGGGTAGTAGCGACTTGGGGTAGTTGGTTGGCGAAACTGGGGGTAGTTGTTGAGCGATCTGGGGTAGTTTTGATCTGAGCACTGGGGTAGTTTGTTGAGACGGGACTGTAGCGCTTTTTGGGAAGGCGGTAGTTTCTATGAGCGACACTGGAGATTGTTAAGTTTTGTATGAGCGACGGGAGTTATGTCGAGCATTGTTTTGTTGAGCGACTCGGGGTAGTTTGTTGAGCGACTGGGGTAGTTTGCTTGAGCCGCTGGGGTAGATTTGTTGAGGCGACTGGGGTAGTGGTTGTAAGGAGGGAAGGGAGCGACGGGGTAGTTGGTCTGAGCGACCGGGGTAAGTTGGATTGAGCGAACCCTGGGGTAGTGCTTGGGCATGGGATGTTGTTGAGGCGACTGGGGTAGGTTGGTTGAGCGACCTTGGGGTGTTGGTTGAGCGACTGGGTGTGACGACCTGGTGTTGAGCGACTCGGTGTTGGTTGAAGGACTTGGGGTAGTTTGGTTGAGCGACTGGGTAGTTTGTTGAGCGACTGGGGTAAGTTTGTTTGAGCGACTGGGGTAGTTTGTTTTGAGCCTGGGAGCTTGGAGCGACTGGGTAGTGTTTGTAGCATCGGTAGCGACGGGTATGGCAATGACGGGGTAGTTGGTTGAGCGACTGGGGTAGTTTGGTTGAGCGAGCTGGGTACCGTTGGTTGAGCGACTGGGTGAGTGTGGTTGAGCGACCTGGGTAAGTTGGTTGAGCGACCTGGGTAGTTGGCTTGAAGCGGGTAGGTTGACGACTGGGTATTGGTTGAGCGAGTCTGGGGTTTATTTGGTCACACTGTGGTAGGAGCGACTGGGGTACGTTAGTTTGAGCGACTGGGGTAGTTAGTTGAGGCGATCTGGGGATAGTTTGTTGAGCGAACTGAGGTAGTTTGTTGAGGCGACTGGGGTAGTTTGTTGAGCGACTGGGTAGTGTGAGATTGTTTGTTGAGCGACTGGGGTAACGTTTGTTGGAGCGACTGGGGTAGTTTGTTTGAGCGACTGGGGTAAGTTTGTTGAGCGGACTGTTTGCGCGGGGTATTGTAGGAGGTAGTTGGTTGAGCTGGGGTTACGTTTTGAAAAACACTGGGTATTGTGGGTGCGACTGGGTAGTTTGGTTGAGCGAAGCTGGGTAGTTGGTCTGAGCGTAGGGGGGGGATCTGAAGTATTGTGCTTAAATCGACGTGGGTTGCGAGATCTGGTGAGGTCGTGAGCGGTCGCGGTGTAGTTTGTGAGCGATGATAGTTGGTTGAGCGACTGGTAGTTGGTTGAGGCGACTGGGGTAGTTGTGTTGAGCGACTGGGTAGTTGTGGCGACTGCTTTTGTTGAGCGACTGAGGGTAGTTTGTTAGATGTAGGAGTTGTAGCGACTGGGGTAGTTGTTGGCATGGCGTGTTGGTAGCGATAGGGTGGTGGGTGGGCGTGTATGTACATCGGAGAGCAAGGCAATTCACATCACAAGAGTCAAGGGTGGAAGCGGCGAGGAGCGGGGGGAGTTCAATAGGTAGCAGCGGCCTGGGAGGAGCGTAAAGTCGGCGCCGCCGGCGAGAGCGTCAACGACACAAAAAGAGGCTTCTGCCGCTGGTGATGGCCTACAAAACTGCCAACGTCATGTTGGGTTGCTGCTTCTCTGCTACTCGCAGTGTCAGCTTGTATCAGTTTTGCAGACACAATACTCAGGATTATCTTTAAAAGGAATAATGAATGTGTCCTGCGTTTTTACACTATTTGTGTGCTTACAGGCTTTGTGTTGACACCTTATTACTGCCGTTGATTAAGTTGCCAACTTTTCTTATTTGAGTGCTAAAAAACATTACATTAAATTTATTATATGAGAACAAAACTCTTTCTTTAAACGTTTAGGTATTCATTTTATTGATATTTAGAAAGTGGAACTGCAATAAAAATGTTAAGTACAAACTCAGAATATTTATACAACTCTCATTGTAATATTTATCGAAACAAAACTATCTCTGTTATTTTATTACAGTACAAAATGCATTTTTTTAAACTTATGTTTTTGAAGGATCGCATTTTTACATGGAAGCACTAGAGATGAAAATGCTGAAACGCGGCAATTTTCAGGATTTTTTTTACTTACAATTACCGCATTAACTAGGAAAAAACGTATGAAATCCAAACATGACAAAGCCAAGTGTATAACGAGAGGAGGATTACTAGGAAAAACTTATAAAATCCAAACGTGACAATGGGAGATAGACATTGAGAGTGTACATGATGGGAAGTGTACGATGAGAGAAGGGTGAGAATTTTTGTTTCCTGAAGTCTGTGACTTCCTCACTGCGGAGCGCTACTTCGTTAATAACCGCTGAAGAACGTCTCGCCGAATTCCTCTTCTCTTCTGTCTCCCCTGTGACGAGAGATGTCCCGCACTCCGTTAGTCGCTGTAAAAGCAGTGGCTGCCTCTCACTTTTTACATGGAGCTATTCAGTGGCGCTGTTTACATTACGTCAGAGATTTTTTTTGCTTTGTAATAATCTCTCATACAAATTTCCGTGTTTCTGGTATTTCTATGATGCTGAAGAACGTGGTTGGATTAGTCAATTCTCGAATTTTGTTTGTTTCAGTTGTAAGGCGTTCACCTTCTTCGACATTAAGAAGAATCATACAATCGAGAAGGTAAGTTACGTTATTAAATAATGTTACAAATGTGTTGTATATGTAATCGTGATGTATACAAACACTGCATGTCAGAAGATATTTCACTAGTATTGTTTTAAGTTTCATCAATAATCATCACAAATTATAATAAGACGCGAAAATGATTCCACACGACGATCTGTAGTGAGTGACCTACAAACTTCTTTTAACATTGTTCTTTTAATGTTATGAAGAAATGAACTTCACAATTGATCAAAATAAGTCTTAAATGGTCAGTATCAGAGTAATTATAGTAAGTGATCGTTGGTTTCGCGAAATTCAAAACTTCTTTTTACGTCTAACCGTCTTCATTAACATCTTAAGAAACAAGCTAAGAAATTAAGTTGAGTGTCTCACTTTTAAATTTATACTCTTAAAATTACAATAACTAAACTCAGTTTTTCAACGTCGAAAAATCATATTATATTGTTCTTTGCTACGACCCGGCATGTTTTGCGTTCAAAATTTAAATTTTGTTATCTCTCCTTCGAAATCTGGTTTTATGTTTCAATGTGGAACGTCTCAATGAATGAAAATTTTGTAAGGAAAGTGAGCACTGACATGCTGAATAAAATGTATGTTGAATTTTATTTGTGCTGAAAATTACGGTAATATTCAGGATTTGCATCAAGTAATGTTTTGTATTGATTTGTTAATACTATCAATTTCTGGCGCAGTGTGCGTGAGTTAACTATTTACGGTTCTTGAAGCAAAATAGTTCTGACTGACATCTTTTGAAAAAATAATGCGTTTCTTGAAATAAAAGGCGTGGTTGGAAGCAATGGTGGTTTATTCTCAACTAGTCGCCTGCAACAATGCCTGCTGTTGAAGACTGAAAGCAGCAAAAATTGGCTATTGTGAGACGGCACTCGTGAAAACTAAACCCTTTCTTCCGCGTCACGTGATATCAGTTGTGTCGTAAGCAGCACTGAGAAGTAACGACAGGTATGAAAAATTGTGGATTAACATAATCAAATATTTGAATTGTTTAGTGAGAATCGAAACGGTTACTTTGATTTTGTATTTTTCCGTGTTCCTGAGTATCTAACACGACCATTGACGCCATTTAGATCGTCAAGGATCGCTTAGTTTTCAGTCAATTTATGCATATATTTAAAATTGACAATTTAGATACTTTTGAATATTTCTTATTAATATTCAAAAAACATTAAAAAATGTGCAACGTTCGGATGAAATCTGAACACTCACAGTTACAAAATCGAATAACTAATAGTGAAAATGTTAATACTTGGTATCGATTATTTTACTCCCATTTTGAGGCATTTTATTGTATTTTAAGGACATTAGATTATAAAGGATAATCTATTTTAGAGAAAAAAGGATTATGTTATAATGGCAATATAACTGTTTTTATGTCAAGTTACAGTGTCTGAATAACGCTTGGTTTATCATTAAAAATCAAATTAAATATCAAAGAACATTGTACGGTGTAAGTACACTGAGCAACGTAAAAGACAATGCTAAAAGTATTACATTAAATCTCAATTACCCATTTAAATTTTCGTTACAAAGTTTCTTTCCGTGGGTCATAAATTAAAGCTATTAATGTTCCACGTGTTACTAAAATGACGGATCGCTACATTACTAAGTGTCCACGTTGCGTATTAAAATTGCCACAGTGGGCGCTCAATGTTTTCATTTAATGTTAACGGTTTTTTTTTTATTTTGTTGGAGTGTCGCATTGGCTTAATTAATATGAACAATCTGAATCCCTTCGATTACTTTGCACAAAAGATAGATTTGTAAAAAAGTCACAACCGAAAAGTACAACACATATTCTATACCAGGGGTGTCCAACCTGCAAGGCCTCAATGGCTGCAACCAAACCTTTAATATGGTTGCATGCCATATTTTCATTACTCGGGCGATCTACACCTGCCTTCTCTGTAATGTTTGTCGGCACTTCGTTTAATGCTGTGAAACGGAGGGGAGGGGAGAATGAACCGTGCGTATCCCAGTGAATCAAATTGGGATGATTTTTAATTTCGGAATGTAATAGAAAATAATCATTAAATCCAACCTATTTTTACATTAAAGAAGATGTTGACCCCCAGCGGAGCGCATGCGTTGCGGTTGCCCGATATGGTTGCACCGAACTTCACTTTTGACTAATAAGCTTTCGCGAGCCACAATTAATTGCCCTGCGAGCCGCATGTAGCCCATAGGCTGCCAGTTGTACTACCCTGTGCTCTGCAGAAAAACCAAATCGCTAAAACTATTGTTTTATGTCGTTCTTATTCACTAAAAGCTCATGAAATGATGGTCTTTTACAAGTTCTGGAACATTACAATCACCATTTTTTGTAAACACGGAGTTAAACAGATTTCTGGAAATGTAATTGAGATGTATCTTTACCTAGATCTGTACATTATATTGTGGTGGACTATTGTAGGATATTCTGTTATAAACCTTAACTTAAAAGTAATGCATAACTTATAATTATAAACACTGAAATGTTTTTGTTAAGAGACATAAGAGTCAAACGATTTCTAGACATTGTTTTTATTTTTATACTCACTAAACTTTGACTTTAAAAACAATCTTGCAACTTGAAACACTCGCTATCTTTGAATCGCCAACTATACTACGTGATTCAAGGATATTCTTGTATTGTGTTGTAATGGATCTATAAAATGAGGTAATGAACAAATGAGGGTAGATAAACTTTCATTATATTATATTTAATACATTTTTAAAATTTAAAGTTTCAGCTATAACACTAGTTAAAAAGAGCAAGTGACAACAATCAACGGCCCAACTCCTTTTATTTAAAAACCTTTTTAATTTTTAAAGCTAATTTTAAGAAAAATAAAGAAGTTTAAGAAAAATAGAACCACTATTTAAACCAAAATTTGGTTGAAAATCTCCAATTCCATTCTAAAGAAAAAATATGTATGTTTAAATACAGATATTATGTACAATTCAATTTTTAATGCATAATATTCAGTTTGTGATTCTATTGTTAAAAATGAAAGAATTATTGGGTTAATTATGCACTTATCAGCGATGTGACTATAAGTATCCAATGATTTGTGTGTTCCTTATGAAGTTCAACATATTTCAAGCCGTTACTACTGCAAGACGCAAAAGGAATGGGGCCCAGATCATCCCAAAAATGTAAAATTCTACTCAATTTTCTATGATTGTCCTGAGTTGTTTCTAACTAAGATTTTGAGAGGATGAAAAGCAAATTTCGATTTGTTACAATAACGCTCACGATAGTCCTTAATGCGCACCTTTCCTTCTAAAAATAAAAATATTTTAAAAGTCTGGTGTTATTTTACATTAACTCCAGTACATGATGAAACAATCACCTTTATTTTCCATCTTTGTTCCCTGAGTTTCAAAATACACGATGTAAGCCATTACACTAATTGGAATAAATGGGATCGACAATTCACGTCATGGGCCACCCATCTGATCTCACCTCATCCTCATTGCACGATGTAAAGGGAAAATATTAATTTGCTAAATTGCGATGTTCTTCGCATAACCCTGCAGGGAATTTGTTTCCATAATGTCTGTCGGCATGCGAAAAAATGGACGAGCATCTCTAATTTGTAAACTGTTTTTTCGATTTTACCTTTATAAGGAAGGGAAGGTTTATAAAACATCAGAAGGACATTAACGTTGGCGTAAATAGTGCTATTATTTGCTACTTCACGAAGGAATAAATATTTATCGTCATCTTTTCTCACATGTTATCAGTTTTAGCAATGAAATAAAATATTCTTTCTAAAGTTTTTTATTGATTTACTCGAGAGCCGTACTTCAGTGAAGGCGCTACTTCTTTCGGTGAATGTAGAGCATCTCCTGGAATTTCGGAATTTCATTTCTGCATCACGTTCATATTGAAATCTGACAATTAAAATGATCCCATTCATTTTACACACCAATGCCGGTTGGGTCATAGTTTCGGGTTTTAATTCAATTCCGGTGTTTCTGGGGAAAGAGAGAATCGAGGTAGTGTAATTTCAGTTGGCTCCTCCGCATCCATTCCTCTTACCTCACAATTTCCACGGTGACATTTATTAAATCATTTTTTAATAATAACTTGGTGGGAGAGTAAAAATGATATGTTACGTGGATGAGGTTTCCAGATAACTACTGCAGGACTTTGCTATTTAGAGCCATTATATTTTTCACACGAAGAATAAAATGGCTCTACAGTAACAAAGTACTGATTTTGTTGTCTTCAATTACACTTGCAATCGTCACTCCTGCAACTTTGTTTAGTATAGACGATAATATTGAATATTTAAAAATGGCATCCCTCAAGTTTCAAGAGGTCTTTACAGTACCATAACTATAACATACTATTTCTTACATTCTGACATTTTGGAATAAGCTTAGGTATTCGTTTCCCGAGATTAAATATTAACATGACTCCAACTAGATAAAAAATCATTTATTTTTCTTAAACTTCTATCCTATTCTCCTCGTTTCAAAAATTGGCATTGGCATAAAATAAATGAAAATCACGATAGAGAAAATCAAAATATTTTCAAATACAACTTTTATTCATGTAATGATCTTGTTTCTTGAATGTTTATGTTGAAGACTTCAGTAGGCGGTAGGAGTTACGATCTATAAAATACACAATGCGATTCCTCTTGTGAACCACGTGCCGTGACTCTGAGAAATTAATTCAAACCAAAATTGATTTTAGATTATACATTTGATAGACAACAGAATCTCCATTGAAAAGGCCAAAGGAGAGAGAATTAAGCTTAAAAATAGATAGTTTGTCATAATTAGAGGGAGGATTTTCATGAAATGTCATTTATTTATTTTCATTTTAGAACAATATATTTTAGTTTAGTCATTAATTTTATGTTATGACAAAAGAAATTGTCCCATTTTAAAACATTTTTTGCATTTTGTCGATTTAGACTAATAGGTTATTTTCTACCTTTTTCATTTTTGAAGCATTTTTTGCTGACTTCATTGATCTTAAA